TGCACGGAGTATAAATCTTTCCATTCCCCACCATTCAGTCAAGAGTGGAAGAAGCTCCTTGGATGAGAAGCGAAACATCTTCAAAGAAAACCCAGGAAGTCCAGTTGCCTCTTGAAAAAACACATTTGTGACAACTACATTTTAGGTATAGGTATAGAAGCCACAGAGTGGTGCGGTGGCCCACTCCACGTTCTTGCCTCACAATCAGGAGGCTGTGATTTTGATCCTAAGTAGAGGCAGATATTTCTTTCTCTGGGCACGTAGAGATTATATCTACTGAATACAACTCCGCATCGGCAACAGGAAGAGCATCCGGCCAGTAAACATTCAGGTCCATTCAATTGCCCAGACTCCACCTTCAACGGATTAGGGGAGGTCATTAAAAGACAATGATAAAAGACCCTAACATAAATTTTGGGCTCAATTGTGGTCGTAAGTCAAGGGCTACCCGTATGAGCATTCATAACTTTATTTTCTGAATCTTTCTGAGTTGCTTTAAAGGACAGACAAATATGCACAAGAAGCAGGTCTGTAGTGACTTCCGCACTATTTCTTTTAGAAGGATCTCGCTTCTAAAAGAGAAACCCAACTTTATTTCCAATTTTTCTCCCCCCCCCACCAAAATACAATACTATAATTCTCTCTTGCTTGTGGCATAATTCAGCAGTTGTGCTACTCATTAAAACCGATTGCTTTTTGGCACTTACTTCAAAAGCCTTGATCGTTGGCTTCAAAAAGTCACATCTTATGATTTTTGTAGCACGTGATTCACCACAGACTTCTTTTCTACGCACACGGAAAGGTTAGTAAAAACCACAATGTTCTTACTTTAGATTCTCTGTTCATTTTTTTTTAAATGCAACATTAAGGAAGTTGGCACTCTAACGAATTCCAGGCATTCCCCTGAGCTTCAATTCCTTCCCGGTGCTAATTATTCAACTTTATTATGAATTTATGGTTTCCAAATACTCCAATCTGGGGCAAAGAAAGGCTACGAGGCTGCCCTTTGACATTTGTGTTCCAATATACAGCTACAATTCACCCCAAATATAATTATTAATACAGGTAGTCCTCGACTTACGAGGGTTCATTTAGTGACCGTTCAAAGTTACAACAGCACTGAACAAATGGACTCGTGACCGTTTTTGGCAGTCACAACATTTTCAGCACCCCCAGGATCATATTCAGATCCAAATTCAGAGGCTTGGTTCACATTTATGATGGTCACAGGATCCCAACGTCATGTGATCCCCTTTTGCGACCTTCTGACAAGCAAAGTCAATGGGGAAACCAGATTTGCTTAACAACCATGTTACTAGCTTCACAGCTGCAGCAATTCACTTAACAACGGTGGCAAGACAAGTCGTAAAATGGGGCAAAACTCACTTAACAAATTTCTCACTTAGCCACAGAAATTTTGGGCTTAGTTGTGGTCCTAATTTGAACATCTACTTGTAATTTTATCCTGCTTTTCCCTAAAACTCAGGTGTCCACATGCCAAGTCTTTGCTGTGTACATTTTCCTATGTTTAATTTCTTTCTTGTTTTTTGTTTGTTTGCATCCTACCTATATTAGGTTGGTGAGGTTGGCACAGAAAGTTTTTGGAGGTTTGTCCCTTCCCACCCTAAGCAAAGTATAACCTTGGATTTCTCCCTTTAAACCAGTGATTTAAGAGGAGGGCTTGGTACAATGGGGGGCAAGCTCTCGGTGGAACTCAAGAAGAGGATAAAAAAAAATTACACCTGCTTTCTGCTTTACGCCGCCCCCAGATTCTGAGCATAAGAAGTCACAGAGTTCAAACAATGCCGAATGGATGAAATGCAAAGGAAGGGGCTGCAGAAGTGCAGCTAAAATCACCAAGGCCAAAAACAAAAAAACCCAGCACAAACATCTAAAATCCCTTAATTCCCAAAAAAGACATTTGGCATTCGTTCTCTGCTTTACCCTTATATAAAGTTTAGAGAAAGAAAACAACAGCAGGTCTTGGAAAAAAGAAGGAGCAGGCAATCTTTTGTTCCATAAATATGGTGGCCGTTCCACGTGGACACTGCTTCTGAACTTTGTGCTTGAAGTGGAAAAGAATGAAACTTTGACTTTAAGTTTTTTACAGGGGTCAGCAACAGGGGTGGGATTCAAAAACTTTTACTACCGGTTCTGTCAGCGTGGCTTGGTGAGTGTGGCAGGGGAAGGAGATTGCAAAATCTCCATTCTCTCCCTACCCCATTAACCTGCTTTCCAGCTCTGTTCTCCTGTGCAGGGCAACCAAAGAAGACCCAGCCGATCAGCTGGGACTCGGGAGGCAGAGAATAGATGGGGGCGGGGCCAGTCAGAGGTGGTATTTGCCGGTTCTCCAAACTACTCAAAATTTCCACTACTGGTTCCCCAGAACTGGTCAGAACCTGCTGAATATCACCTCTGGTCAGCAACCTGCGGCTCTGGAGCCATATGTGGCTCTTTCATTGCTCTGCGGCGGCTCCCTGTCCCTGGTCAGTAAAAGGAAGAAGGATACTGTGCTAGGAGGAGACTCTATGGTGGGGGAACCGGTCTTCCGGTCAGCAGAGGAAAAAGAATATGCCACACTAGGAGGAGACTCTATGGTGGGGGAACCAGACTTCTGGTCAGCTCCAGAATTGAATGGGGGGCTGGTTACAGTTAGGACCTTTGTGGCTCTTTGGCCGTTTAAGGTTGCCGATTCTTGGATTAGACTGATAGATCTTTATAGAAACGGCGACTTTATATTAGTATGAAAAAACAAAAAGTTGTGATTTGATGTTAAGGCCTTATTTTACTGCAGCAGGGAGATTAGGAAGTCAATGCTTCTTTTTTCTTAATCCTTCCTCACTTTACTTCCCCCCACCCGATTCCTCCCCATTGTTTTCCTATTTTCTTTGTGTATTTTGTATCTTATTTTATCTGATAACTCCAAATCTTCTTTGGCGTTTAATGACCCTGTAATCCCTGGTGGGGGGCAGTTGGAGCAACGGAATGTTTACTGGCCGGATACCCTTCCTGTCGCCGATGTCAGGGTTGGACTGCTATGGGTTCGCCTGGGTTTGGGAGAACCCGTAGCTAATGTTATGGCCAGTTTGGAGAACCGCCAAATCCCACCCCTGGCTGGTACCTCCCCTCCCACCCCTCCCAAGAGTCTCCACACCACCTGTTTTGGATGCAGGTAAGTGCAGACTCCTAATTGTGAGGCGAGAGCTCCACCTCACTACTTTTATCTTCTAATTCAAAATGTTAATGGAAAAATATGGTGGCCGTGTGTGTGTGTGTGTGTGTGTGCGTGCATTCCTGACCAGCAAAGTCAATGGGGAAGCCAGATTCACTGAACCACTGTGTTAGTAACTTAACAACTGCAGTGATTCACTTAGCAAGGGTGGCAAGTAAGGTTGTAAAACGAGGCAAAACTCACTTAAACGTCTCAAAATTAGCAAGAGAAATTGAGGGCTCAATTGTGGTCGTAAGTTGAGGACCACCTGTCGTGACTTACAAGGCTTTTCACTGAAATGGAGAAGACATTAAAAAAAAAAAGTTTGCCGTATTAATGTTCGCTTGTTCGGAAGTGAAGTCCAAACTTTCTCAACGTTTGGATCAACTTGCATGAGATGACACTGGATTTCTGAGTTCTATCAAGAGCTTTAAAATGCTAAAAACTACGATGGTTCACTTGGGCATAAGATCCACTGGATTCAGTGGGTCACAGAGAGGGTTACACAATTCTTTCGTATCATGCTTCCTTACTTAGGGGCCAGGCTCAGAGAACTGGGCCTGGGTTGATATATCCAATTAAACCTTAATCCCAGTTTAAGCATTTGCTGTGCTCACACAACCTGCAATGCTACAGCAAACAGGTTTAATTTATGCCTCAATGTGACCACAAACTATGTAAACTGCTTAAGTTCAGATTAACCTATATTATGTGAATTTTTTTTAAAAAAAAAAAACTCAAGTTGCTGCGCCACTTGGAATATTGTACTTGCTCTATATTTAATTGAGTATCCTATGGACTCCCATTTAAATTGCCACATACAAATGATTAGAATAGAATAGAATAGAATAGAATAGAATAGAATAGAATAGAATAGAATAGAATAGAATAGAATAGAATAGAAT